GATAAAATCCCATACAAAATATTAATAATACTATAGTAGCCTAGTATATAAACACAAAAATCACAGTGGTACAGTTTAGTAAAGTAGTAATTTTCTACATTTATTAACCATCATCAGTGAAGGTTGCAAATCTAATGATAATGCTTTAAAAACGTCATGAGACACTACAGTGGAGTGTATTTTTGGAGAGTGCCAAATGCAGCTCTATATGAGCTTTCAAAACAGCATTTATGACTTCATAAGTGACATGTCATGAAGTCTAGGTAGTCCTAGTAAAGAAGATAAAGATTGAGACCCTTCATCCTGCTGATATCTGCTGGTGTTGTGACTGACAGCGTTTGAAAGACAGTCAACATTTCTGCTTGAGCTCTCCTACTGCAGGTGAGTGCAGGTGCATTCAAAATAATTCCCTCAGAAGCGCTCGTGTTTTAACATCAACACAGCATGCTGAAACATCACTACACAGTAGGCCTACTTTTCGAGAATTGTGTTTTTATTCATTTTTATTATCTTATTTTATTCCCTTTACAATTGTTTTACCTCAACAACCCGCTGCCTTTGTTCCTCTCTGCCTGCCTCTTGTACAGTTTAAAGAAAAGACTACACAGCCATGGTATTTATACAGAAAGTGTGTATTTATTTTCCAATAAAGACAAAGTGCAGAAATCCTCCCTTTGTCTTTCCATTCTTCATCTCCCACTAGTTTCTGGTGCTCTGTGGCAGGTACAAATCTCATTAACTTTAATCAGCAAGATAATGTAAAATTAATAGACCCTCACGTCTCACTAAAATATGAAGTAATTCCCTAGTAGCATGCCTTGAATCCCATTTGATCAAACCGATTCATACACAAACAAACACATGATTATCTGGACTGGTTAGTTATCTGCAAACAAGGCATCTCGTGGTTTCTCATTCATTAGGTGTCAAAGCACAGAGAAAACCATTAGAGGTGTACAATGCAAATAGAAAGCCTCATTAACCATATAGGCTAGCTCATGGCTGGATGAGGAAAACAGGATATGAGGGGATAATTGATTGCAGGCTTTTTGCATATAGGTCTAGATTTTTTGTCTAGCTTGTGCTTGTATTAGAAAGAAATAAAATGTACAGCATCGTGTATCAATAACTAAAAGCGCTAGATTAGGCTACTGCCATATGAACGAACTAATACTACGGTACTTTGATTTATGTGTGCCATATTCTTGTACAATGGTTTTCACTGGTACTCCAAGAATACTGTGCATGGCAAAAATTTGTGGTAATATTTCCACTACTGACAGCTACGTAGTTTGAATAGCTGTTTTATGGCGCCATCATGTGGCTGACAGTGGTATCACAACAAACACTTTATAGTACGTTGATTTATGACTATAAATAAGCATGTTGCTCTGTGTCCAGCTATATGAGGACATCCTAAAGAGAAGGACTATTTCATAATTTCATAGTAATTGTTATGTGGACAATATGAATGGTCTTGTACTTTTGTAAACCCCGCCTTCTTCGTCGAGGAGCCAATCAAAATGCTCAATCCAGCGTTCTGTTTACTTTGACAACGAAGCCCCGCCTTCAAATCAACGTCTCGCTCTTCATAGATTTAATGCTGCATAATTAATTAATCCTTCGTCTTTGTTGTAGCGTGTTAGGGGTTTTCCTGCAAGAAAAGTTAAAGATTCTCACTCTAGAACACAAAAGCCTGGCACAATTCGCTTTGTACTTGAGTATTTAAGTGGAAATTGAAATAAAACTAGTCGCGTGGAGTGAGCTATTTTGGCAGAGCTTGAGCAGCACAACGCGAGTGGAAGATTGGGACAACAACAAAAGTAAAAGTAAAAGCAACCTGGACCTTTGAGTTAACTTAAATGCATTTGACAAAAAGCAGGTGAGAAGTCCATGTTTGCCTCGTCTCTTGGTGATGGAAGGACTGGCTGGTGGTGTTAGTTTGTGTGCTGTTCTCAAGGCAACAGTCTGAAGTTCATGCATTCACATGAAGAGCGCTGCTTTTGCCCTGGAAGACAGGGATAATGTTCAAGGTAAGCAATGCTAAAACACTACAGTCAGGGGAGCTTTGCATGTTAAAGTTCCTCATAACAGATTGCATGTCTCAAACAGTTGTGTTTCACTGTTAGTCAAGTTGTACAAGTGTGTTCTACCTATAACTAAGAAACAAGAGCTTCCTATATAACATATAAAAAAATATAATACTAATAAATTAATTATACATTTTATATAGTATTTATATTTCAGAACCATACTATATTATATATGATATAGTATATACATGGTTCTGAAATATTATAATAAAGTTAATAATAAAGCATATCCAAAGGCATTTTATATAGTATATAAAATGCCTTTGGATATGCTTTATTATTATTTATTATAGTATGTAATGAAATACAACATATATTATGTGATGTGATATCCTTATATGATATTTTATAATTATTATGTGTGTGTACAATTTATTATATTATATTAATATAATATGCAAAAAGCTAAAATTTGATTCAAATGAATGTTGTTAATCAACTACCCAGTTGTTTATTTCAATGTTTTGCAGTTGTTATAATTATACATAACATAAATGAAAGAGAGAGGAAAGCAGAATCTTTAACTAAACATCTTATGAGTTTTTTCTATTTTTAATCAAGGACTTTACATGCATGAATCGTATGAATTGCGTATGTTTATTTCACATGGGATATGAACTAGAATCAGTGATTATACATCTGAAGTACATTTCTTACTGAAAAAATGTAACTAGAAAAAATGTAAGATAATACAGAACAGAACATTTTTCAAATGATGATCAAATAATTCCAAACATGCCATTTCAATCAAGAAGACATGCTCAAGGTTTGAATATGGCACACTGATTTTTTTTAGAGTTGATCGTGTAGCCTGTCTGATCACAACACAAATATTCGTCCTCAGACCCTGTGGATCTTCTTGGCCCTTAAGGAGCTTTAGAGCTAACTGTTCGTTTTATTAATCCTGTTCAGCTCTGTCTGTGTGTGTGGGCACTGTAATGTAGGTAGGCTATTAAGTACAGTAACAGTGAACGATCTATATATATATAGGATGCGTGTTGCTTTTGGCTGAGCTCACCACAGGCTCGCTGAATGGATGGCGGAGATTTAGACAAGCGTTTAATTAAGGTTTGCTGCAGAACGCACTGCACTCAGGAGATTTGCAGACTCCCTCGGCGACTACATTTGTGTTCACGCAGGCGGAGGATGCTGACAGATTGCTACGGTTTGTGTGTCGCAACAAACAAAAGTTACATCCACACAAATAGGTCTGCTACACACAGGACGTGACGACATGAGATATCCATTCTTGTAGTTATTAAGAAATGACAATAATGTATGTGCTTGTCTTTTCAGGGTCACTTCTAATTTTTCAGAATATGACTAGCTCATATCTTAGACCCAAAACACTTGTTTTGATTTTAAAAATGACAAGTATGCACAGCTATGCTCTGGATGTGGCAGCGACACAATTTAAGGCTCGTAAACCAAATTTAGTTTGGTTTAAAATGGAACATTGCTTTTCTTATAAAAGGGGCTTTTGTTATAGTTCATATGAAAGTTCTTTCCCAGCTATTCATCTTTGCTATATGAAGCAGTGTTCTGAATGCTGATTGGCTGTTCTTAGAATGATGCTTTGATGCCTAAAGACCGGCAGTGCATGGCAGAGATTGTTGTTGTGTGGTCACCATGGTGACCAAGGGCCCTGTGAAGGTTGTGGGTTGTTTTCTAGATGAAACATCTACTACATACGATTCACCTCCTAGACTATTGTTTACTTATTGTTTAATATGACAAGTAAAAAAAAATGCATTGAAAAGACAAAAGTGAAGTTCTCATTTTGATTATGTAACTGTCCTTCAGGTCATTGTGTAAATCTTGAAAAACAAATGTGTGTATATATACCTTAAACGTTTTGAAAGGGTGTGTGTGTGTACTTGCTTATGCTACATTGTGGGGACCAAATGTCCTGTGTGAAGGCAAAGCATTTTTTACTACAGTCTTCATTATTACATGATCCTTCAGAAATCATTCTAATATGCTGATTTGGTGGTCAGGAAACATTTCTTCTAATTATCAGTGTTGTGCTGTGTAGTAGTTTTGTGGAAACTAAAAGCATTAATTTATAATAAAAATATTTAGTAATATTTTAAATGTCTTCAGTGTAATTTTTTAATCAATTTAATGCATCCTTGTTGAATAAACCTTAGTGACTCCAGACTTTGGAACTAGATTATATATATTAGTTCAGGGTGATGTTTTGTGGTTCCACTTGAGAGCATCTGTTTACAGACTTTGCATAGACTTTCATCATGCTCAATTAGCACTGAGCTACGGTACATGAATGACCGCATTAATTAGACTATTGTAAAGAGTTATGCAGACGCTTAAGGGTATGTTCGCTAAGAACGAATCTCTTTAGTCACCTCCTTCTCCTTCAGCTTGAATTGATTTATTATCTGTTAATGTTGCTGTAAACAGTTGATAATTATTTATCTTTGATGTAATTAGTTTTGTGAAATGTTTTCTGTTTTATATCTCATGAAAGGTTATTGGTAATGCATAAGTTGATCAATGACAATGATAAAATATGATATTTCTGTGTTTTTCAGGACATGTTAAATCACCTTGATGACCCTTGAGTGGACATTACGCAGGCTGTTCATAAAACATTCATAAATGGTCAGCTACTAGAGATTACATCAATATCAATGTTGAGCTGCAGGTGGTATAGGAGCTCAAGGTGGAATAAAGGAGAGCGATAAAGAGCCAGGTAATGGAGCGGAGCAGAGGTGGTACCACCGCAGGGGTTCTGGTGTGGACACCAGCCCCAGCGTACTCCTCTCCCTCAAGCCCAGATGGGTCGGACTTCAGCTGGGATGAAGAACCAGATGAGGACTTTCAAAGCCAGATGGATGAGAATGGCATCATTGGTCTGGCAGAGAGTCAAGGGCAGCAGGAGGTGAGGACATCAGAGATGTTTGATTGATATCTGCCCATTTATTGGTCATTTAGAGCGGTCTCACCAGGGCTCTTCATCAGAAGAATCTCATTACACTTAAAAACACTTGCCAGAGTTCAACTGTATTTAATTAGAAACATTTAATCAATTTATATGCCCTGGTTCTAGATTAATGGTGCTTTTTAAAACTTGCAACTGCTTAATAACCATCTCATGATTGTGTCAATCAGGAACGAGAGGAGGAGATTGCAGAAGACCTGTTGTGGGGTGTGAAAACCCCTGAGCCTGAGCATGGGCCACCACCTGCACTAGAGGAGAAAAGCTGTCACCTGAGTGAGCTGCTGGACTCTGAGCCGCTCTCTCAGGCCACTGGAGATGACTGCCGCTCTCCATCTCTGCGTAAGGGCTCACAATTTAAGTTTTGTGTAAAGGGATAATTTATCCATAGATACACTACCGTTCTTTAAAGGGATAGTTCACCCAGAAATGAAAATTCTGTCATTAATTACTCGCCCTCATGTCGTTCCAAAGCCGAAAGACCTTCGTTCATCTTCGAAACACAAATTAAGATATTTTCGATGCATTCTGAGATAGGGCTGCACGGGAAACATTTCTTCTAATTATCAGTGTTGTGCTGTGTAGTAGTTTTGTGGAAACTAAAAGCATTAATTTATAATAAAAATATTTAGTAATATTTTAAATGTCTTCAGTGTAATTTTTTAATCAATTTAATGCATCCTTGTTGAATAAACCTTAGTGACTCCAGACTTTGGAACTAGATTATATATATTAGTTCAGGGTGTGAGGGGGAAAAAAAGATATATATATATTTTTTGCCCAATCTTGATGTCAAAACCTTAATGTTTACATGCAACTTGAGGTAGAATAGTGTTTTATAATTGTAGTGACTAAGAATTTAGTACATCTAAAAATATATGAAGAACCAGATGAGGACTTTCAAAGCCAGATGGATGAGAATGGCATCATTGGTCTGGCAGAGAGTCAAGGGCAGCAGGAGGTGAGGACATCAGAGATGTTTGATTGATATCTGCCCATTTATTGGTCATTTAGAGCGGTCTCACCAGGGCTCTTCATCAGAAGAATCTCATTACACTTAAAAACACTTGCCAGAGTTCAACTGTATTTAATTAGAAACATTTAATCAATTTATATGCCCTGGTTCTAGATTAATGGTGCTTTTTAAAACTTGCAACTGCTTAATAACCATCTCATGATTGTGTCAATCAGGAACGAGAGGAGGAGATTGCAGAAGACCTGTTGTGGGGTGTGAAAACCCCTGAGCCTGAGCATGGGCCACCACCTGCACTAGAGGAGAAAAGCTGTCACCTGAGTGAGCTGCTGGACTCTGAGCCGCTCTCTCAGGCCACTGGAGATGACTGCCGCTCTCCATCTCTGCGTAAGGGCTCACAATTTAAGTTTTGTGTAAAGGGATAATTTATCCATAGATACACTACCGTTCTTTAAAGGGATAGTTCACCCAGAAATGAAAATTCTGTCATTAATTACTCGCCCTCATGTCGTTCCAAAGCCGAAAGACCTTCGTTCATCTTCGAAACACAAATTAAGATATTTTCGATGCATTCTGAGATAGGGCTGCACGATATATCGTTTCAGCATCGATATCGCGATGTGCGCATGCGCGATAGTCACATCGCAGGATGTGCAATGTTTAGTAGCCTATACTGAGCGTTATATTTATACTGATCGTTTTCTTTGCTCACACACAGACACCGTGTCACCGGACGAGACATCTGTCGTGTCGCGCCACAATAAAGTCTGTCTACACTGGACGCGTCAAAGTGACCTTTGCACATCATCTGAACTGTGTGTCAGTACGTCATAAATGGAACGCGGCATCAGTTTACTGTCGGGGGTTTGTCGTGTTGCGCTGCGCCACATCCAGTGTAGACCTCATCACTGCTCGCGTCCAGGGTAGACAAAGTGAGAGCCACGCAGATGCACGTGAACTCTGAATTCCGTTCACTTCCGTGTCTGTTAAAGGGATAGTTCACCCAAAAATGAAAATTTTGACATTAATTACTCACCCTCATGTTGTTCCAAACCCGTAAGACCTCCGTTCATCTTCGGAACACAAATTAAGATATTTTTTATGGAATCTGAGAGGTCTCTGACCCTCCCATAGACAGCAAGGGTCCTTACACGATCAAGGCCCAGAATGGCATAGCAAGGACATTGGTAAAATAATCCATGTGACATCAGGGGTTCAACCGTAATTTTACAAAGCTACAAGAATACTTTTTGTGCGCAAAAGAAAAAAAAAAAAGACTTTATTCAACAATTCGTCTCCTCCGCATCACCCTAGCGCCATTTTGGAGAGTATCCACTGAACGTAAATTGCATATGCTGTTTTGTGTCAGCTGTGCCACGCGGATACGTTGTTTTCGTTCAAATCAAAGCGGAAACGACATAAACAGCGTATCCCCACAAAACAGCATGCGCAATTTACGTTCAGTGGATACTCTCCAAAATGGCGCTAGGATGACGCGGAGGAGACGAATTGTTGAATAAAGTCGTTTTTTTTTTTCTTTTGCGCACAAAAAGTATTCTCGTAGCTTTGCTCAGCTTTGACATCACAGGAATACATTACATGTAAAATAAATAGAAAAACAATTGCAATACTATTTCACAATGTTACCGTTTTTACTGTATTTTTTATCAAATACTGTAAATGCAGGCTTGGTGAGTGAAAGAGACAAAAACATTTTAACGACCCCAAACTTTTAAATGGTAGTATAAGTATCATAAAAATATTCCATATGGTCTAAAAGGTTTTCATTCACTTTCTCTCTTTTTTTAGAGGAAGAACACAAAACAAAAGACGACCGAAGTGTTTTGTTGGAAGATTGGACTGACGATGAGGACAGTACAGGGAGCCCAACAATCCACAGTCACAAATTAAACTCTTTCCCGCAGAGAGAGACAGTGCTAGACATGACTGATGAGGAAACGGAAGAGAAAGAAATGTGTGAAGATGCTCAGAGATTCATGGATCAAACATTTCCTGTCACAGAAGAGATGGCATCTATGTTTGAAAGGGTGAAGAACCGTGATTACAGTGAGATTCCAATTTCAGGAATCCCAGAGCATTCTGAGCAAAGTGTTTCTGAGGAACTTGAGGAAACCAATGGACAATTTCTGCCAGTCTCACATCGTATCTCACGAAACACTTCTAATCTCATCAGTTTTCCCCATTTGTCCTCAGAGGAACTGATGAATAACTGTGGAATTGAAGCTGAGACTTTTCCAGAGGCAGACATTAGGGCAGAGCCGTCTCTTAGAACCCCTAAAACATGCCACATGGTTAGATCAAAAGGGGAGGAGATTAAACACAAGGTTACACCTCAAACTTCAGCCAGAAGCCCTGTAATAAAAATCAGACTTGGAAAAACACACCAAGATGGTACGAGTGGAGAAAAAGTAGGGCTACACTGTCCTAACCACAATCTGCAGCCTCCAACGCCCTCTCCCAGAAAAACAAACCCAGCTTCCTGTGACGATCAGGTTTCCATTCCAGCGCAGTGCATTTCTAAAGCAAGTGTCTCCCCCTCAGAGCGTTCGCCACCTCCTGCACCTCACCGGTCTTCAGCAATAAAGAACCACAGAACCTCCAAAACCTCTCACACTGATCCAGATGACGTCAGGTGAGATGAAAAATAGACACAAATTCATTATTTGATTAATGTGACCCGTGATTTGTTAATGAGTTCACCCCTAATTAAAATACGTTTTTACTTATCAATATACAATATATAAATCTCTCTGTAAATAATATAAAAAATATTAAAAATGGTCATAAAAATACATGTACATATGAAATATTATATATTTATATAAAATACAGTAAACTTAGAGTATTTACTTAAACATAGAATGTGAGTAGTCCATACTTAGTCCAATTTAGCATTATTTTTGAACTGATTATTGATGTATATGTATTCTTAGGAAAGGACAGCTGAGTCACCCTTTACCTGATTTCTCCAAAGTGGAGCCGAGGGTACGCTTCCCGAAAAAGAGTGGATACAAACCTCCTAAAAGCCGTCAACCTCCTCATGATAGAACTTCACACCCGGATCTTCCTGTAGTGTTCAAGTCCCCTGCTGAGATTGTGAGAGAGGTCCTTTTGAGCAGCTCTGATAGGTCTCCAGGAAGCCCCTCCATCAGTGGGGCCCACAAGCGTCTGCACAGCACAGTACCAGAGGAGTTCCGCTGCCCCCAGCAGGCCAGCACACTGATGCAGCAGCTGCAGGTATATAAGGAGTAAATCATGAACATGCCGTTTAAAGTGAAATACTAGTATACTATACTGCATAGTATACAGTCGGTAAGATTTTTTTTTAAATGTTTTTTATGTCTCTTATGCTCACATAAAATACAAAAAACACATTGTGAAATAATTTTGTAATGTCATTTATTTCTATGATATAAAAGTTGAATTTTCAGAAGCCGTTGCTCCGGTCTTCAGTGTCACATGATTCTTCAGAAATCATTCTAAAATGCTTTGCTTTTGCTTAATATGTTTGTGGAAACTGTTATTATTTTTTCAGGATTCTTTGAATGGAGAGTTCAAAAGAACAGAATTTATTTGGAATAGAAATCATTTGTAACATGATAAATGACTTTACTGTCAATTTTGATCAATTTAATGCATCTTTGCTGAATAAAAAATATTAATATTTCTTAAATATTAAATATTAGTTTCGTAATAAAAAAAAAAAGATATACTAACCCCAAACTTTTGAACAGAGTGTATACTGTGAAAGCAAATCAAACCATATGCATTATGCAACAATAAACATTTTAAACAGTAATATTCTACATATTTTACATATTTGCAAAAGTAGTATGAGATGTTAAAATGCTGGTTGATATTCGAGAGGGAATTAGAGAGGGAAGTTTAAATTGAATTGCATTGTGGGATACAGTTTCCCTTTGCAGTGTGCACTATGTTTTGACGAATTTTATTTGTTTATTTTAATGTAGGGAGTGTAGCATTACAAACATTGACACTCAAAATGATGCTGATTTATCCAAGAGGCTAAAAGATGAAGCCATCTGTTATGTTTCTTTATCTATGTCTTTTTTTTCCCCCTCTGTCTCTCTTTTTCTCACAGGAGGACTATAACAGGCTGCTTACCAAGTATGCAGAAGCTGAAAATACTATCGATCGACTTCGCCTTGAAGCAAAGGTTGGCTTCACAGACTGTGTTTATATTTTTATGCTTTTTTCCCTTCATCTGAAGTTTGATGTGAATTCAGTGCCATACTCTCCCTCGTATCAGCAGGCCTGTCTCCTTTCTGCATGTGCTCTGATGTCGGCGAGAGCTATTTTTAGACTCCTCAGGCTGAGTCAACACAATATAAATGCAGAATCTCTTTTGTGACCGCCATAATCACAGCCCTCAGTTTAGCAGCGCCACCGTATTCAAGCACAAGCTCATTTTCAAACTCTGATTGTAATGTTTTTCTCCAATGAAAGGCCTGCAGAAAGGGCTTACCTCAGACGACAAAGCGTTTTAGAGAAACACTAGCAAACAAACTGAGACAATAAGCAGTGTACATACAAAAGCATTACTTGTACAAATCATTATATTATTTGCATACTAGTTTATGAACACAAAGGTTTTTTTACACAGTTAATGCACAAATTGTTGCTAAAATACAGTAATTCCGCATTTTTTCAAATAATTTCCTTTAAAAGGAATTGAATGCAGCACATTATCTATGAAAAAAAACAGAGAATTATATATTTAAACTGATTAAATATTTATATCGATTCACAGCCTAATTGGCATTATCATTTATTTTGATTAAATGAGCTCTGTTTATTTGTCTGAGAAGGTCATACATTGCTTCAGTGTAGAAAACAGTTAGTAAACACAGAACGGTGTCAAATGACAAAGTGACCTGAAACAATTCTGGGCCTGAGCCATCAACAGGATTAAAAAAGGATGTGATGTCATGTCTACCTTCACTTTTACATAAGAAGTCAGCGTTACACGGTGCGAAATTACTAACGGTGCATACATTTTCACTGATTTTACAGAGCAACGTTGGTAATTATTTAAAGGTGACATATCATGAAAATCAAATTTTCCAGGTTTTAAGTGCTATAATCAGGTCCCCAGTGCATCTACCAACCAAGGAAACGTGAAAAAGATTAACCCAGTAACTTTGTTTAGGTAAGCCTTTTTCTGCAAGCGTCTGAGAAAACGAGCGCGTCTGATTTCGCTCCCTTGGTGACGTGGCAAAGGGATCTCATTATAATATTACCGCCCCTTAATCTGCACGTTTACACCCACGGCACCGTCATTTTGATTTCACAAGCGACAACGGTGTACCAGTTCTAATGCCATGGCGAAAGTTTGAGCAGAACATGCTAACTGTTCTGTCTTTGGCTGCACAGACGAGCACAGAGTCCCAGCCTCCGAGGAGACAAGAGATCAGTGGATTTATTGATTTATTTAAAGTATATTGCTGCTGCCACACAGATCTAAATTAAACATGCGATTTATTTCCCAGCTGTTTACCTTCACAGACATAACTGACTGTTTTTGTAACTCGTGTGTTTTTAACGTAAACTTGCATGAATGAGAACTTAGTTTAGTACACACATGCTGTGACCGCAGCTTTCTGTCCGTGTGCTTCGGATGTGTGC